TATGTTCGCCCGGTGGTTAATCCGTAACGACCTGTTTACTCCCAGGATATCCCGTTCTGAGAATTTTACATTTACGTCGAGAAATTGATGAAGGTTTTACTGCTAGAGTTTTGAGATGATTTGCAATATCCCGTAGTGCTTTTGCAAAAGCAGTAGCTAGAGATTCCCACTCGATCCGATCTTGCTCAACGTCAGTTAAGGCAATAGAACTCAAAAGACTAACGGTTCGATCGAGAACTACAGATTGTGCTTGCAAGTCATTGATATCCGTTTCATTTTTATGTATACACTGCTCTGTTCTCTCGAGCACTGACGATAAAAATTCAAGTAAGTCCTTTTTAACGTTAAATTCTGGCTCTACGTCCGCTGTGATGCTAGTTAAACTTACCGCGCGAAAACATAAAGCCTGGAAGTTCCCGTATGGTAGTTATCATTTCCGGTCACTAACCGGAAGCAATTTTGAATGTATTTTTTTTTCATTGAATTGAAGTTGAATTTCATTGAATTGAACTTGAATTTTCATTGAATTTTCATTGAATTTTCATTGAATTGAAGTTGAATTTTCATTGAATTGAAATTGAATTTTATTGAATTAAACTTGAATTTCATTGAATTTAAGTTGAATTTCATTGAATTGAACTTGAATTTCATTGAATTTAAATTGAATTTCCTTGAATTGAACTTGAATTGAAATTGAATTTCATTGAATTTTTAGTATTGAATATTGCTACGGTTGGCTTGCCATACTCAGATGAAATGCCATTTTCATATAAACAATGTAAACTTATTACATAATTGTACCTCACTGAAAAATATTTCACAAGGAACATAATCGTACAGTCAGTCAATTTTCCACGAAACTCTCACGTGCTTAGACGTTTTTACCATTAAAATTCCCTTTTAGCTACCTAAAACGTTACTCAATTGCGTGTCAATTTCCTGTAAAAAAAAACCTGCATTTTATCGCGTATTTCGTACGCATAGGGCAACGTCCTCTTATTTAGGCAACACCCAAAGACCACGTTGTTATGCTTCAAAAAATGATACGTTTTCTTCGTTCAATCTATTTTCACTTGTTCGAAGAATGGGTACCGCAGAATATCTTTGTCCACAGGCTGTTAGAGATAAAATAGAACTTTCCACTGCAAAGTTATAGGGAAGAAAATTTTGAGGCAACCATCTGTTACTGAAAAAGAGGCTATATGGAGCCTATATTCGGACTGGATTTGTGGTTCAGTGGATTGAATTGAATTGGTTCAAATTGAGGGCTTTGCTGTTTTAGCAAAATCGCTGTCGAGTGCTTTTCATGGTTTGTTGACATGGAGAGTGATGGAGATTTGTACCAAGTACTGGAGCAGAAACAATAGGACATGGGTCCCCTACGAGGTTTAAGCTCCAACAAACCCACCCATCCCACCCCAG